GAACACCAGATGAGGCGAACCCCATAGTCACGAATATCTACTGCTCCGTGATGGGGACCGGCAATCTAAGCCCCGGGACCTGGAGTGGTGAACCACATAAGGCCGCGATAGGTTAGGCGTGATATTGAACCGGACGGCTGCAAAGCTGCCTACCACTAACGTTGTGTTNGGTCCAAAGCAAGATATTCACGTTCTTCTCTGAAATTGCCCTAAATAGTCCGTTGGGATTCTACTTCTGTGCGTGATGTCAGTGTTCCGCGATGTTATTTCGAAATTTCTACTCTGCTTTGAAAATCTGATTTTCTGTTATCCTTTGAGAAATTTTAATCACTGGAATATTTTACGGGTATATCTCGCCATATATATATATATATATATATATATATGAATGACTCGGCGAAACTTCTTGGAAACACACGACCGGTGTGGTTCTTGCCGCTCGTCAGGCTTACGTATCCGGTAATCGTTTGTCACTTCATTCATACACTTTTATCCACGAATTCTATTTTTTTTTGCAATAACCTCATTTACCACGGTGAGAAATATGCTTGGGCAGCTCTCCCAGAACCAACCCACTAATGATTTACTACTATGATTTCATGTTTCCTAGGTGAGTTAGGTGCTACTGTATGTGGATAAAAAATTACCGCTCAGGTTAAGAAAAAACCGCTACAATGCCCTCTGAATCCTCCTCTGCCATGAACTGTCGAAATATCTGTGCATCACCAGGTTCATTGTGATACCCAGTGAAAGGACCAAATCTCTTAGCCCGGACTGTTTTCTGCTGTAATAGCTAACTGGGAATGTCGGAATTGAGATGGAAGACCAAATGTAGTCACGCTTTTGTGGGCCATCCTGAACAAACTTCTGTGTTCCAACTGGCCTCTTCCATAGTGAAAGATCGAATGAGACCAGGAGGGTCAAAGGATAGAAGTCGGACAAAGTTCAGTTTCCTGGTGTTTCACGGGGATTAGCGTTAGCGCCTCGGCCCGTAAAATCGCCAGCCGGAATAATCGAACTACGTAGATAAACCCCTGTTTCGTCCCATTTGTTTATTTGTGGCAAGAATTCGGTCAAGGATTCCTGGTTAGGGATTTGACTCCCTAAATTTCCCATAGACAGTGAAAGATTAACATTCCATCTCATAATTCTCTGTAGGTTTTGGTCAGTTTCCTGCCGAACCGCATTCTGCTTGCTCCGGCTCAGTTTACACATCTCTACTTTTTTCTTCATCTAGATGATCGCTTTGTGGTGAAAGAATTGTCATCGATCGAGATGAAAACGTTCCATGAAATCTCGAAACAATATTTCGATTACCTGATCGGTGCAGCCTTGGAACAGGTAAGTATAATCTGACAAGATTTTTTGTTGGTTCTTCAACTCTCACTTTGTGTTTCTCCGGGCAGTTCATTTATATCTCTTTACATCTCTTCCCGTTCCACCCCAGCGTCTCTGTGTTCTCTCTCGAATATTGGGTGTATTTCATGTCGGGTTCAAGAATTCCGTGACTGGTGAAGCGCATCGATTTGATGTCCTCGTGATGGAGAATCTGTTTCATGACCGGCCCAAACTGCGCTTCATCTACGACTTGAAAGGATCGTTACGTAAGCGTCTCGCCGATGAACAGGGCACTTTCCGTCGACTAAATGAGTCGGGCGATCCAAGAGATGCGGCTGGCGTCACGGTTTCTGGTCTGGATGGGCCGAATGGGGAGTCGGCAGGTATGAGCCGTACTTACGATCAGCAACGCACGGAACCTGGAGGAGGAACGGAGGTGAACGGTAGCGCCGGAACTGACGGACAATCTCGGTCACAAAAAAACGTGCCTGTTTTGTTAGATCAAAATTTGTTGAATGTTTCCGTCGACAGTCCGCTGTATTTGCGGGTCCATTCAAAGGTATCCGATTAGTCTACCAGATAGTATTTTATTCACGTGTCTTATTTGCTTGTATACGGTCTTCGAGGTATATATTTTCAATACCCTTTGCTTATAGGGTTGTTGGCGTTACGTTTAGGGAACCTGTCTTGTTCCTACGAAGCAGTTCCTCTTCTGATCCGTACAAGTCACCCAACTGGTCCCACTGAGTTGTTTGTATGCGGCAATGACACGCCTCGATAATCGCTTGACTGAATCACATTTACTTCCCGTTGAAGTCTCAATTCCATCCCTCGTGAGAATACAATTCATTGACTAGTGCAGACCATTTCCAGAAAAAGACAACCCAAACGCCATTCATTAAGAGATCATCGCATGTATTCGGAAAGTATGCATTCGTAAAAGTCTCATTTCATCTCGATGTCAAATCCGTGTCCTGATTGTGTTCTCCACACCCCTTCCCCACTCCACAGAACGCACTATCCCATTGTCTACAAGTGGACACCGCGTTCTTGACGAACCTGTTTATCATGGACTATTCGTTGTTGGTCGGTGTGGATCCCTCAACCAACCAATTGGTCATCGGCCTGATCGATTATTTGCGCAAATTCACCTTGGACAAACGATTAGAGATGCTAATCAAACAGACCATTACGAGTGCTCAGGGCCCAATGCCCACTATTTTGACTCCGGATTTGTATCGTGAACGATTTTTGTTTCAGATGGACAGCTACTTCCCCTTAGTTCCCGATCAGTGGTATGATAGTTTGGCGGAACACGCTGAAGCGTGGCGTGTGACGCCTAGCCAACCCAACTGATGTTTTCTGTTGCCCATTTCCAGCTGTGATGCCATCTATTGTTCGTTTATCTTCTAATTTGTTTGATACCAATACTAATTTTTTTTTCACCAGTACATTGCAACACTTGTCATTCACGAACACGTTCCCTTGTTTTTTGGTTTTGCACATGCAACTCCCCCCCCATTCTCCGCGCGATCTGGTCCCCAATCTCAAGTTCCTTTTACTGCACTTATGACTCGCTAGCTATATGTTTCGTCTTTCATCACTTGTCACGGTTCCGCCCGGTTGATCGCTTTTCGTACCCGTACGTTTTTTTCCTATTTCGCCATAGTGATCCCTCCCACATGAGCCATTGAACAAGCGCCTTAGTGTATTTTCAATCAATCGATGCGTTTGCAGTTCTGGAATACATATACAATTTGTGATCTAATAACCCCTATTGTTCTCTTTTATATTCCATTGTATTTGATCCCATCTCATCCTTTTATTCACATTGCAACTTTCCTCTCTTTTTGTGTCTATGCGTGTGTCTGTGTGTGATATGTCGCTTTCTGTGATCATGTGACTTGTGAATGGCAAACATTGTTTGCGGTAATCGCGGATAAAGATCACTGGACACCCAAGTCGCCCCACCATTAGCACTACGTCCCTTCCGGATATGGCTCTGAAACCGTTACTCCTGAACCCCATGGTCGGTGACCAACACCCTTGAGCACACTAGCGGGTTGTATTTGTTCTGGTTTCGGCCCAACCAAATACCCAGGAATTTTGGTCCGTGAGTGGGTTCAAAATCAATGAAACCCACACCAAAAGATGAAAACATCGGTCTAGTTGTTTGTGAACTCACGTGGACTGTTAGGAAAGATTGTATTTGTAGAAGTAAACAATTGTTAATTTTAACCACTGAGTTTTTGAAAAGCACCGGAAAACATACTCCTTCCGTGGAATGTTTTCATACTTTTTGATCTCATCTCGATTGTGGTGAACGTATTTCCGAAATTTTCCAAGATCTCGGACGGACGAGTATCATCTCCGGAAAAATGATGCCGTATGTGAAACGCTATCTCCGACGGTAACCCTTTTTGTGCGCACTGAAGTAGCTGTTCTGTTCGATTCATAGTTTGAGCAAACTCATTAACGATTGAGTTGCTTAGAAAGGAATAAGCTTTTGCTGGGCGCAGAAACACATGAACACATCGGATTAACGAGATCAGGATATTCGGGAACGTTTTAGACGTGGGTTGGATGCGGTACTATGAGTGCAGAAATTGTTCATGTCCCCACATTCAAGTCAAGTTACAATATTGTTCGCAATCTTTTGTCCTTACTAGTCACTCAGCTGACAGTTGACTGCCGACTTGTCGTGCCGTGACAACCTCAAGCTACTACTTGTCTAAAGTCGGTGGAGCTGCACGCAGGCGAGTGCTCCTCCAGGTCATAAATAGGAGGGAATAACTACTCGGTTGGTCAATCACTAAATAGACCTGCATCCTCTGATCAGCGACGATGCTCAAGAACGTGGTGAGTTTCCACTTCTCACTAGATCGTTACAACGAAAGCCACCATTGGTGGGGAACATCGTGACGCGTACGAGCTTGGCCCGTTGCTAAACGCTGTCTTCACACAACCGCTTGATTTTACAAGTGTTAAATACGCATCGTCAAAAAAAAACATCGACTGGTTCTGGACGTGCTGTCATGCTGGCTTGTCTCCGCATTGGATGAAATTGCTGTAAACAAAAAGTAATGTAAACAGTCACCAGGATCCGAAAGGACAAATCAAACTAGGTAAATCATGCATGGGTAGATCAGCCCTCCAGGTTTTGACGAATTGAGTATACGTTGTAGTCGCTGAAGCCCACAAGATAAGCTGATCAAACCATTTGATCTGCCCCCGTCCTGTAAGCGCGAACCGTGAACAACGGTTGATGATAACCGCAATTCTTGTCCGGCTTGATCAAACTGTCATCTTACAGCAGTGAATGTTGGGAAAATGAAGAGAACTCATCGATTCCAGATCCGTATTCGCGCTTGAATTTTGTTTACTTCGTTGACTGATTAAGTTATTGTGGCAAATTGTCCGCTTTTGTCAATGACATTCACTAGAGATGCCATCGCAATTGACTGGTTATTTCTGTGTCCATTTTCACATTTCGATCATTGGTGCTTGTGTGACTACATCTTTGTTCTTCACGCTTCAGCTAAAACCCTGAACCCTTTAGCCTCGACCCACATTTGCATACGTGTAGTCATTTCTGTGAATATGCTACTACAACCAGACCACAAGCCGTCGGTTGGGGATGCAGAACGAATAATTCCACTAAGTAGACAACGGTGTGATGGTTTCACCCGTGTCGCAAATAGTTATGCATGAAGATTTGAAAAGAACAGTCGAGACACGCACCAGTAACATACGTCGTCCGTACATAAAAATGCAGCACGAAGCTGATGATGTGAATTAACGTGTTAGGTTTCCTTGAAGGACTGACCTCTATCGGATTTACTTACTACGCGACGGTGAATTCGATCAAACTGGCTATCTGTTGATGATTACACATGTTTGGTGATTTAAAACAATGATGTTTACAAAATCTGGTCGAGTTTTGCATCACGTTTGTTGAGAATTGCTGTCATTAAGTGATTTATTTCTGCATACCGGTACATCAGTGACTCTGAGACACCAAAGCAGTGATATCCTAAAACGTTCAGGTCAATATCTCAGTTTGAAAACTGCGGATACAATAAAAAAAATAGTAATTACAGATACCCATTGTAAATTGATTGGTCGCTTGAAACCACCAGTCATAAAACTGATATTTCGATTTGGGCCTTTTAACAAATCACCATTTTGGGGATCTCAGAGATCCTGATATATCCTTATAAACTGAGTTGGGCTCTGACATAGCAAAAGGGATGAATTCATAAAAACACAAGCTCGCTGTTTTTGGTAGATAATAACTTTATATCGTTGATTGTAGCCGGTCGTTTTTCTGGTGCTTCATGTCACCGATGTGCACCCGGTCTCGTCCTCGTCATATCGGTTTCTATCATCACGTGGGATTTTTCTCCTTCTAAATGACGTACGATTACCTGCATAATGGATCCGGAGATCGGAAGCGGCTCAGCATTGCGTGAGTATGGTTTTCATTATAATTTGATTTAATATGGTGTCGATCCGGTATATCCGTTTTTTTTCACTTACATTGACGACAAACTGAAGGTGCTCAATGACTACTGTTAGTGATTGTACTTTCATCAATAATAATCTGTTTTAGTAATCCAATGATTCAGATTGAAGATTATAGAATGAGTTTCTGGTCAATTTTGACGAATATAAGTAGATTTTTTCATAAAAAGGTAGCAGTGATATAGAGCGACAACAGCACAGTGCAAGCGGTATAAAGGCGAGTGACAAACTCGCTCATTGTAATTCACCACAAATGAATATCCGTTTTACGAATATCCGAACACCAGTAACCGATGGGCGGTGATCCTGTGAGTGATACTTACCAGCAGAGGCGTCAGTTGTGAACGCGTACTAGTGAACTTGTCAACTACATATCAGGCTTACGATGACCGTGTGGTGAGGCACCAATCATATTGCGTCCTTGACATTCCGTTTGATTGATTGGACGATCGCTGACTGATCTAAATTGCAGTCGTCTAATCCAGACTCAGTCTGGGTGGTACGTCGCCAGTGTGCTTGTGGTGTGACGCGGGTGCGTGCTCGACCTGATGGGTTGTTTGAGCTCCAATGAATTAGGGAGAGTCACGAACCCTGGTAGTATATTTAGGCTGTGTCAGTTGTTGATTTTCCAAAATATACAGGATCAAACCCTTGTGGATTAGTGATAGAACTTTGCATTTTATTTGAATTTTATTCTCAAGAGATCCTTGATTACCTGCATTAAGTGTTTTCTGAATTGCTAGCTGGTCATCAGGCTATGCAGCTGTAATCCAGCTCTTTTCCTCATCTGAAAACACTATTGTTTGTGTCGCCATAACGATCGGAAGCTCATGAATAATGTTCGGAAAGGTTGTGGATAAAAATTTGAGCCCTGTGGAACCCCACAGACAGGATTTTACACCCTTGTGCCTCTGTTCGCCATTTTTGGTTGGTGTCTTTCTGCAGTATCTTCTCTGGAATAATAAACGGTCAGACGGAAATCGTTAAAAGCTAGTAGTATCATTGTAAAGATGAAGAATCCAGGCAGGCTTCATTCACGAACAGATTGCATTGATGCACGAGCGTCACGTCGATTGTACCGGATAATGAGTCAAAAAAGTGAATTGGCATGACCCGTTATCGGAGAAATGACTCGATTCAATCCAGCGGGGGACCTTAAATGGCGTAATCGCAAAGCTTATGCGGTAGTATTTGGTGCTTAAATCATTAGAATGCCTTTGGAAATTCAAAATTTATCATGTTTCACGCCCTCCTCTAGTCTTCAGCTTTTGCCCATTCATCTGGAGCCAGAATCAGACTCGTACCAAAGAACAGCTTTCGATGAAATCCCTGTTGAGTTGGCGAGAAAAGGTGGAAACGTTTTTCTGGTTGTCCCAGTCGTGGTGGTGGTGCAGTGGTTTAGTCGCTGTCACCGGTGTACTTTAGACCCTATGGTCCGAGGTTCGAGCCCCGCCACGGAAACACAACGTTAGTGGTAGGCAGCTTTGCTGTCGTCCGGTTCAATATCACGACTAACCTATCGCGGCCTTATGTGGTTCACCACTCCAAGTTCCAGGGTTTAGGTTACCGGTTTCCATCACTGAACAACAGGTCCTCGTGACTATGGGGCTCGCCCCGTTTGCTGTTCAGCAAACGAAAGTGTGTAATAAAATAAAAAACGTCGTACTCGTGATTTTGGACAACACTAAAAGGAGATCTAGGAAGATGATAGTTGATGGGGTCACAAACCCAGATACCCTTGTCAATCGGTGCAATCACACGTGGTTACCATCATAACGGGAGTACTGTGTAGTCGAATATCCGTTGAAATCTAACAGTCAGTGGTTCAAATACAGGATTCCTCATACTGCCGCCAAATGACATTGGTGGTCATTTAGCGATATAAGTCAATATGTCGGTGTGCGTTGGACTCCAGGGTCAGGAATCTAGCCCCTCCTCGCCCTCCATCACCACTCAGCTTTGGTGGTACGTAGTTTTGGTGTCTTCAATACCAGGCATAACCTAGCAGGACCTTATGTGGTTCATCACTCCAAGTTCCGGAGCTCAGGCTGCCGTGTTTTACAATTACACAACAGACCTCCATTGATTATTGAGTTCACCCTATTTGCTGTTTATCATACATGAGTGTGATAAAAATAATTTCACTGAGCGTAAATTTGGTCTTTCGAATCAGGATTGGATAATATTCAAGTTCAGTTTGGCACTTGCTTTACTGACACCACAGATTCGCATTTTCAGTGTTTTGCTCACTGAGATGTTTCACCGTTCAGTAGTGCAATGCTAAACAAGAAAGTGAATAATGAGCCAAATTCAGTAAGGAATTCCAACATGGTATCCGTTGATATGAACACACAAAGACACCCAGGAGAACGAGTGTATCATAATCGGTTCAAGTGTAAGGTCGAACAGGATATGGTAAAGTACATGTGAAACAAATCTGTTGGCAAGGTCATATGAGAGAGAGAGAGAGGGAGAAACAATTTGGGTCAAATGATCATCAGACTATGAGGTGTTTGGATATGTGAACAGTACTCCGGGATTCGGAATTGAGTGTACCTCGCTCTGAGATGTTCATAATTACAATCAAAATCACGATGTTGTACGAGGAGTGAGCAAAATGTTTCCCGATGTAGAAAAAGTTTTGTTTGTTACACAAAAATAAACATCGTACATTTTCTTGAAGTATTCTGCGCTAGCGTTTATGCACAGTTCAATGCGTTCAAACCATGTGGTGAAACATCTCGACCATGCCGAAGCTGGTAACCCTTCTACCAGTGCAACGAAGGCCTCCATTGCAGCTATTCGTGACTCGTATCGGATTCTCCGCATCATGCGCTTGACATTTGTGAACACAAAATAGTCACACGGAGCCCGGTCTAGACTGTAGGGTGGGTGACCAACCTCCTCAATGGTTTCCTAGCCAGAAAGTCGCCGACGACATGGGACCTATGTGTCAGTGCGTTGTCATGGTGCAGCAAATTCCCTCGTGCACGAATCCTTGGACGACTACTGGAAACAGCTTCCTGCAATTGCCGCAGACAGTGGGGGGCGTACCAGCCTTCACCGACTGTTCTTTGCTGTACGAGCGGTACAGTAGCCACATGACCGCTTTTGGCTATGAACACATTCACCATCTGCTTTGCCACACCGCTCTCCTCGGAGTTTCTAAGGCGGCTCCCCATCAACGGGCGTCCACTGAGCCGATTATTTCTTTGCCTCTTGGTCGAATCTGTTCAATCAGGTGTCATCACCATTGATGATCTAAACTGCATTAGAACGTCTACCATTAAACCTGGCAAGCATGGTGCGGCACTAATTCACCAGAACTGCTTTCTGTTCCTCACTGATCTGATGAGTTAGTCAGCTTGCGCAAACGTTTCTGGTGCCGAGTTTCTTGTGTAGGATGGTGGGAATTGATATCGATGAAATCCTAATGCCTTTCATCAGCTGTGCCACTGTCACCCGCACATCCTCCTCCGCCATCGCTTGTACAGCAGCAATGTTGTCCGCTGTGGTTTTCTCCACACCGTGCCTCATCATGCAGGGACCGCCCGCCAGGCTTGAATTCCGTAAACCACCCAAAATCAATGCGTCTTGAAGGCGCATCGTCACCGAATGTAGCTCGCAAACGGTCAATACTTTGTGGCTGCTTTAATCCTAGAAAATCATCGCCCTCCAGTAGCATCAACTAGGTTTCATCCTTAGGGTCTAAGTATCCCACCCCTAATGAACTGTGAGCAGTAGATATTTGGTTCTGTGAGTTGCTGTCATTGAACAATATTCGCAACAGATCACAGTTTATATTTGCCTTTCCCGATCATCTGCACCTCGTACGCGCGTACTGTGTATCCGGAATCTTTTTGCTCAGCCCTCATACAAAGCCAGTCAAACAATCTTTGTGCTTCAGTGGTGCTAACTTACTCCAAAATGTACCAGAGATCAAAACAGAAAGATGAGCTAGCTTGCACTGACAATTACTTCGCAAATGTACTACGTTGCCGCGTATGGAATGATCGCATCTGTCCGGAGATATTCGTGGTACGAAGTATCCCGAATGATGCGTACCAACATAACTTCACCCCGAATAATTTCCTGTAGAAGCCTTGTTCATTGGTGTATTAGTGGATCATCTACTGTTAAATTTAAATCCTCTCTGGTTACCAAGTAGTATCTCATACGGTCGTCTCTGCTAATTTAAATCACTTATTTTAAAACGGTAATGTGATGCTTGAGTTGGGAGAAACGGTGTATTGATGGAGTTTTCAAATAGTGAGTAGTTTGGCTTGGGTTCGACATGCGTTCCGTTTGGTTCAGTTTGTTTTTTGTGCCTTAACATCGCAGTATTCAAGGAAATCTGGTTCTTCCTTGCAGAGTTGTTTTAAAAATATTTGAATTGTCTATTTGGATTGTCTAACTATTGGAATCCATGGCTGAACTCTGAATTATTCTGATACTACCCAAGTTTCATCTGCGACCAGTTAAGAAAGATTTTTGTTCGAAAGGACCCCCTTATTGAGAACGTACCTGATAAAAGAACGGTTTTTCCCTGTTAATATCTCAATTATTATTGTGAATTATCCTGCGGTTACATGGTAAACTGTTGGCCTTGAGTCTTGAGTAACCACCACATTGTCTTAAGGGATAGGAATAAATTGTTATTATTATCATAATTATTTTGTTTTTAATCCCTTTCATCAGTTGCATTAGGCTCTATTTTATGAACTATGAATCATTTTTCACTTCACCTTTTTCTCTCCTGGAAATCAGTTACGCACATAAGTCATCAGCTTCTAGACCTCATATTGTATGCGTAAACATTCATGATAAAAGGCAAAGTCAAATTCACTCGTAACTGAATCCACAACTCGCTTTCTTGATAGCTCTTCCACAAACTGGCATTTCAATTGGCGATTTATCTGGATTCTCTTGAAAGCTAGATAACTTGGTAATATCTTTTTCATGCTAAATATTCTTTTCCCATTTATCTTATTTACCCCTACTTTATTTCACCCGGATTAGTATGGCCTGCGACTTTTTCTATCCAAATGTGGGCGGTGTAGAGACCCACATCTACGCGTTGTCACAATGCCTGATCGCACGAGGTCATCGAGTTGTGGTGATCACACACAGCTACGGTCCGAAGGGTCGACAACGTCAAGGCATTCGTTATATGTCTCACGGACTCAAAGTAAGTGTTATTTTTGCTCAGAATAGTCGCATGTTCTATCCTGACCCTTCCTAGTGATGTTATCGTGCGATCTATGATTTAAGCTGCTGTACTATCCATGCAACGCTCGAGGAGAATAGGGATTTCAGGTCATGAATATCATTCAACCTTGTTCTCGCGTAGTTTGCTACCTCGTCTATTCTTCTAAAGCTGAAAGTAATTCGCGACTCCTACCAAGAGGTCTTGGGTTTCCGTTCCTCATGTACGAACAGTATTCGTGACCAGGTGGTTCATCTTCTTTCAGCTGTCGGTCGATCCGTCTGTCACTCTAACTGGTCGAGCCAACTCAACAGAAACAATGTGTGATAGAGAGAAAAACGGTCACCGAAAAACGTGATTCGTACGTGGCGTTACTATATGTCTGGTAGTTAACTTTATGAGTAACTTGATTTTAACCTCGATCAGTACGTGTTTGTCTAATCGGTCTGCCTTCTCCGTTACTATATGGATTACTCCCCACGTTGTGCAATCGAAACGACTGCATATAAATGCAATCAACGGTTTTAGAAATGCATCCTAACTATCTTAGTCATTCTTCGATTTTACTATTCATAAAACCCATTGTGGTTATGCGCTTAGTCTCTGATAATGCTTCAACCGAAAAACTAGTGTTGATATCTACAACTAGAATATGCTTTTCAAATCAAACAATCCGCATATCTCTGTTCTCTCTGATCTATCCTAAATGAATTTTCGCCTCATTTCTCCATACTTGCCCCCCCCCGCCCCCCGTCTCTGCCCGATCCGCCGACCCCTTATCGAACAGGTCTATTATATCCCTTTTCTGCCGATCTATCGTGAGACCATTCTCCTGACCGTGTACGGCACACTGCCGATTATCCGAGAAATTCTCATCCGGGAACAGATCGACATTCTGCACGGTCACTCGGTTCGTATTGTGCACGTGTCCGCTCGGCTACTATTCATGTTATTAGTATCTGCCTGTTTCATTGCCTTCCCGCACATGATACACTCACTCTGCAGAACAATTTGAGGAAATGGATTTTGGGAATTTGTGAGCACATCCAGCTCGAATGTGATCTTGTAGTTTAGAGTAGCAGGCTTGGATTAACCCATTGGATTTTTCAAAGGCATTAGGCAAATTTGTCGTTCATCACAAACATTTCCATCGCATTTGAATGCATTACCTCGTAGGGAATTAACGATCTTCCAAGGAGTCAAACCAACGCCCACGATCATGAAGAGTGCCTGGTGCCTCTTAAACAATCGAATGGGCTAATGCAAACTTGTTACTCTAAAACTGATTGAGCCATTCGCACAAAGTGATGAACGTCGACCGTGTAGCTCCGGGGTAAGGATTTGAGTCCTGACAGGGACACAAAAAGCACGCACTGCTGACTAGTCCCAAACAGAACGGAACAGCTATACAATGCTCTCTTTGTCGGTCATCACAAACATTTCTATCAAATGTAACCGTGATCTTCTGTGTTTTTTTGGATAGCCTCAGTGCATGGAGGGCAGGCCACATTGAGTGGCGTGACGCACGATCTACCAGGTCGTTCTAAATCTGTACCGATTTCGCACCAATCAAACTAAGAAAATATCGGGTTTCGGTCAGCTATTTCATGTCGATGACTGATTCATTGGCGTGCATACATGTGCATCAGGAGCTCTCGAACATCAAATAGTGGGATCTGTAAACGGCCCTAGTCGAATTCTCAGTCTCATTGCCGCAGGCAGCCAGGAGTTATGAGGTGTAAATCATTACCATTGAGCTTCTTTGTATCCTTAACCCAATTCTGGTGTATAATCGCGTGCACGCACCGTCTTGTGCTGATCCATGCGCGCGCTTGTGCATCTACGCGTTGACTGCAGCACAGATCGCAGTGGGATATTCTAAGACAAGCCTAGTGAACGCGGTTAACAGAGCCAATCGATACTGCACCGGAGCTTGGTTCAAACTGCATATATAATTCTTGGCTCCTCTTCACTCTGATGCTCATTTCTTTAGTGTTCATCTAAATCTATATGTTAACATTATCGAAATTCTATGCCGGTTGTACTGCTTTATGCAAATAGTGATATTTCGATAGGTTGGCATACTGGCTCCAGGTATTGCTGTGTATTGTCGTCCTTGATTTGTTCTTTTTCTGTACGGTTTTCGGTTACTTGAATCAACTTTAGCTGGTTGGTACCCCGATGAAGTGCCCGGTTTTCGTGCAGCGGTGTCTACTATCCATGTTCCTCGCCGATGACTTTTGTTATTCTGCCATGCACAAAATAGGCACAGTGTGGAAGTTGAAATTCTTGTATTGTGTGCGTGAAAATGAATGCCTGAGGATATCTGTTGGCAGACATGGTTACCGACCCGGTTTTGAACTTGATTCAAATGAGCCACACACACACACACAGGTTCAATAGTTCTCAATCATTGGCTGTCCCGTTTTATGCCATTGCTCAGCCAATTCAGTTCCGATCGCTGCTTGATCCTTTCCGCATCGGTCCAGTGTGTTTTCCTGCGAACCAGGATGTTCCTAATGCTGTTCACTTACGGAGTCTTCAGTTCACAGACACACACATGATTGATTTTATCAGATTGTGTGCTACTGGCGCAATCCTCAGTCTCTAAATCGATTCACCTTTGAGTGGCAATCGGGTCACAATATCCCTGTCCGGGGTTTTTAATGTTATCTGTTTGTTGGTGACCAGACTTATTCGGTCGGCAATTGACCCGGGTATATCCTTGGTCCGAATGGATTGCTACGTGATGTGTTCTTATACGTCAGTGAGTCTGTTGCATAACCAAATGTAAGGTGTTCAGAGCCGGGCGTTTGGCCTCGTAACCGATTGAGAGAATGCAGTACACGGGCATAGTCGATGTGTATGATCGTGATTGAACGCGAACAAAGCTCCTGATTGTTTTTTCATAATTCGATCGCAGGACACAAACGATCCTAACGTTTGGTAAAATTCATCACCGCGTTCTAAACTTTTTATGTCTTATTTTCGGTGCTAAATGCTACTAACCGTATTTTAACCCTGAAGCTCTACCACGCAAATCGTAAGTGGAACATATTAAAAATTGCATTACTGATTTACGAGTCATTTATCTTTTTTTATCCATTTGCATGTTCATTGACTGATTCAATTATACTTTGAGTCCCAGGTGGTAATACCTCCCACATTTTTGCGTTTGTAGTGGACTTACGAGTTTTTATTCCGTACGGTACTTAATCTATACGCTCAACGAAGCAAAACGGCTTCGCCTGTCCGTGTGACTTTTGTGGTACCTTGCTTGCCATCGTGGTCAAGTGGTGAACGTCCCAACTTATCACCCCGGAGGTGTTTTTGAATCCCACCACTGTCGCTCAACTCCCCCATTCTATTTTCGTCCCCAGGCAACGCACCCCGTTCCTAAAAATTATGCATATATGTATTCAATGCAAGTGTAAAGATTTTTCGATTACCCCTTCAGCTCATTTTAAATCATCTAATAGCTTACCAATCAGTCTAACTTATCTTGTATCGTAAATTTCCATTTGCTGCTCTTAGACACCTCTATCATTTGCACATCTGCTTTCCAAAGTCCTCTCAATGGTGTTGTTATTTTCTCTCTCTCTCTCCATGCAGTCATTTTCCGACTTGGGAAGCGAGGCCATTCTACACGCCCAAGGTATGGGGATTCCGACCATCCTGACCGATCATTCCTTATTCGGGTTCGCGGACTTCACGGCCGTGTTCATGAACAAAATTCTCACCGGGGTACTGGGTCAAATAGACTCCGTGATCTGTGTCTCTCACACAGGCAAAGAGAACACAGTTCTACGTGCGGGTCTCGATCCGGAACGCGTCTACGTGATCCCGAACGCGATAGACACGTCCGCATTTCTCCCCAACCCATCGGCTCGGGATTTGCGTTTCGGTACGTGTCTGAATAATGTTCGTATGAGTTGATTTGTTCTCAGGTTTTATTCGATTTTGCTCACGTAATGTGAAATTACATAAGCGGCTTTTCAACTCTGTTGCTTCCATTTTCCAAGCGAGAAAGCAGATGTTTGTTTTACGTGGAACGAAATGTATATCCCATGCCTGCAAATTGAAGCGGTTACGCGCTGGTGCTTACCCGATCAGCGAACTAATGTTCACTCATCCGGTTCTGTTCTCAAAACTATTCGAATTTACAGTCACTGTTTAGTTCAGTTGGTTGCACCGTTGAGCGCCATTTCCTTCATCTGTTCATTAAAATGATCAGTCAGTATATTCTCACTTTTTTACCTTAATTTGGCAGGCGCACCATAAATGTTCAGAACGCAGACCTCTATCAATTGAAGGCTTGCAGCGGGCTATGATTTATTTGCAGTTAACCCTTGTTGAGCGTATCATCTTATCCTAAACCCGTTAGCGCACTTAGCATCGTACAAATATGACCATCTCATGAGTACCGTTTTGCCCGGAAGCTCTAAGAAGGCTATAGAGCAGTGATGTCAGAACATAGAATCCGCTGGTTTTGGGCTTTATCATTGCCAACTGCGTGTCGATTGATAGCGACCAATCTAACCATATCTGTCTTATCGAAAATTGTCCATCAGTAGGTTTGCCCTTTTCCTCGTTGTATCTTCCAATCACATTTGTTACATAAAAACCGTCCCTTGTAACTCGACAATTTTTTTCGTTTTGTAAACTAAACTACTCTGTTCGTTTTCACTCCCCGCCCCCAAACCCTCGAACAGTCACTATTGTGGTGGTGTGTAGACTGACCTATCGTAAAGGAGTTGATCTTCTAGTGGCCATCGTTCCTGCTCTATGTGCCTTCTTTCCACAGGTTCGATTCCTCATTGGTGAGTGACTTCGATCACCACATCTGAATAACTTGCTCACTTCCACCGTCATTCACATTGTGCTCATTTTTCTTGACAGACAATTTTACTTCTATTTCCCCATTACTTTTCTCACGTTTCTTGGTTGTTCCATCTCGTAGTCACATTTGGTTATTGTATAATGTCGAATTCCATTTTGAACAGGTCCGGAAATTTCACAATCCCCTCGTATTTTTCAATGTGAAACGTTGAACATTCTACACGTTAAATCAGAAACCTAGACCGTAGCTCTCATAACAACCAATGCCTGCTGGTTACATCTCTGTACCAAAGCAACCACTGATGCACAGTCCATAGTGACTTCTACATTGATCATCAAATTTTGACTATCATTCAATTTGACCATCCGATTAATTTTTTCTGACCTTCATCGACTGTGTACACATTGTGACCCAAAGACTTATTCCACCAGCTCGTTGGTTTTGCCTGTCGTAACTTGATGTCAATTGGCTCGAATAAAATAATCAATCGACTGCCTAGATGTCTGCACTTGTCGTTTATCGGTTTAGTTAGATACAACCGGTTATTAGTAATAGTATTGGTCGTATTCGACAACTAGTTGTAGTTACATTCATCTGTGCACGCTTAGTTCGGATGTAAGATGTTCTAACGTTGTCCTTATCACCCAGTTTGAGTGGTGTTAAGCCACTTTGCGATCACCTGATTCCACACCACATCTATCCTACTAAGACCTCATGGGGTCCCCTGTATGAGTTCTCATTAACTCTTACTGTAATAGAGAAAAGATATTGAACTGTGATATTTTTATTATTGGGTTACCAACTCACCTTGGACCGTTCGCAACTTCCTTATCGTACAGAAATACATTTAGCAATTCCTGTGACTGCTCTGCGTTGTGTCATCCTTATCGTATTGTACTAGGTCTAATCGATGATTGCTATCTGTTTAACCATTCACAGGTGGAGACGGACCGAAACGGTTAGATTTGGAGGAGATGCGTGAACGTTATCAGCTACATTCACGTGTAAAATTTGTCGGTAGTCTCAAACCGCAAGAAGTTCGTGATGTAAGTTTTTTTTCTTCACCTGTTTCCCAACCATCTACAAATCAGTACATCATTTGTGTGCATTGATTTAGTCTCTAAAATGGTGTACGTAACATGATGTCGTCTTTCATCTCGACTGAAACGCAAAACGTCCGATGCTCAGAAGCCTTGTTGCATTCTGTCGATCTATGCTCACATAAGTGAAGAAAGACGAGAGCTTCATGGCGGTTGCTAGATTGCAATAGTGAAATCATTGCGTTCGCGTGCTTTTTCATGCCTAAAACAACCGAGTAGCTGGTAGAAACTGAAGACAAAACACACTTGGCCTCGGGTTTTTCCGAGCTCATCGAATTGTCTCGTGGGTGGTTGTGAACCACAGCAGTCGCAGATCCAGGTTCTGGTGGATAAATTGAAGAGCTTCGTGACCACCGCATGACAATAACATTGGGTCAGGAGTAAGGCAAATGACCAGACGCTAAATGCAGACCAATAATAGGCGAACAAAAGCAGCTTGCCATACATATATAACATTTAATGAATTACATAGAATTGGCAACTGTGCCACGACATATAAAGAAAATGATGTGAAAAGGCTTTGATTACAAATCAACGAATAAGGCTATCGCAACAGATGCACCATTAATGCCGGTTACCAGCCATGTTGTCTCAGACCATAGATGATCGCTATCCTTGAGACCCAAACCTGGGAGACTAGATCGTCCTACCACCGCTTAACGCCTTTACAATTCGAACCCAGGTTATTCATTGTCCACCTTATCTCCGCTTCCACTTAGTGTATGCTTGCACTATCATAACATGATAGGGCAATCACTGAACCGGTACCCGCAACACATATCCCAGCCACTGAGGTCTCTGACGCGAGATGACGGCACTGAGAGGACGACAAGATTGTCTGAGGCTAAAGTTATTCGGCGAGCATCACCGTTGGTGATTCACTGTTTCCAACGTATTCTGGCGATGCAACGAAGGTAACGGTGGTCAAAGACACTTAATCTTCCTACGTCTTCTGCGAGAAGAGGCTAATCCTCACAGCCGTAGAGTAAAGTAGTGTATTGTGGCATTGCAAACGCGGCTTTTCAAGGAGAGAATGAGGTCGCCTTAACACCACAAGTGACGTAGGTTATCGAAAGCTACCCGGGCCTTGCGGATACGCGCTAATATTTCTTCTTGAGCTGAAAAAAATCTCGAGATAAGTCAAGTGATCGACGATTTCCAACTGGTCACTCATGAACGTGAAGATAGATGGAGTCTCTTACCAGTCTTGCAGTAAGACCTTATATTTCTATGGAGAAAAAGTCATACCAGTGTAGGTTGTAAGACGTGTAGAAACAAAGTGTGGGGAAAACAACCGGGTTTGTCGATGATTCATCCGCTGATGAACATTAGTTGCAAAGCCTGGGAAATACGCTCTCAGGAGAGTGAAGCCTTATTAGAAAATGAGAGTTTGTTTGGCTCACTGTTATCACCACAAACGACAATGGTTTGGTGGAAAGCGCCCACGCCAGACAGTCTTGCGGACTGTGATGATGTGTGTACCATAACAATGTATCATAGAGCTCGAATTTAGGCAATTTTATTTTGGAAGAGGTTTATCCTGATTGTGTAAACATTTGTCTGGTTGATCGTTGTGGACATGCTTCTCGAAGAACTAATGCTTACCTTTGTGCTACCGGTGGATACTTTCTCCCATCCCCTCAGCTTCTCGTTCAAGGTGATATCTTCCTGAATACATCTCTAACCGAGGCGTTTTGTGTGGCTCTGCTCGAGGCAGTTTCATGTGGGTGAGTTCAACACGAACAAATTTCTATCGTTCTTGAAGCTTGTATATGTGGTTCAAGGTCTGTGTTTTATTATATTGTATTGTATTTGTAACTTGTGTAAGCATATATGCTTACATTTCAGTTAAAAATGCACATTGTTCGTCAAGCAGAATGAAATAAAAATAATCAAAACAAAAGTTAAAGAAGGTCGGTGATATACGTATCATGTACAAAGCATTTGACGTAGTTCATTTGAGACCTGTTCCTTTTTGGTGAGTAGTCGGGCCAGGTAAGGTACAGGGGAATTTTTATAAATGTTAATGTTAGAGGGTAGATGTCGAAATGAGGAACGTGTGGACCGATGAGAACGACCAGACGATAGATCAGGGTGTATTGGATGAAGGTCATCTAGAATCTTGTAAGCAAATTTAAAACAAGAGTTGATGTGACTATCAATGAGATCTATGATTCATAAATCAATTGGGATTAGTGATGCACGACTGATTATCATCAGACCGCGGCGAATTGTTTTGAAGTCGTTTTAAAAGACCGGGAAACACTACAGGAGAGCAATAAAGTAGAATGGGTAAAACGCATTGATGAACGAAAGATGTGAGGACTGATTGTGGGGTTCGGAATTGCTTGAGTTTGCGTAACTGAGAAGATAGTCGTCTCAGTTTTCCCATGCACTTGTAGATATGTGTAGACCAATGAAGATTGCTGTCGATGATGACACCCAGGTACTTGACTGAGGTCATTCTGGATACAGGTTTACCGTTAAGGGTAGCAGAGTTAGCTGTTAATGAGGAGCGGGAAAGACTGAAAATACACTCTACGCACTTAGATATGTTAAGACTGAGACCAGATTGGTCAGAAAACTGTTGGATGTGGGATAGGTTTTCAGTAAAAGAATGAAAGTCCGAGGGAGATGAAATTGTCTGAGACAAAACTACATCATCAGCATACTTTTGGATGTGCGCAGGGAGTGGGACCGAAAGATCACTAATGAAGGCATAAAAAGGATATAGAGATAGAACAGCACCTTGAAGAACACCAGAATTATTAACAAGAGGTTTTGAATCCCTCCTTCCTAATTTGGTGCACTGGACCCTCTGTGTGCAATAGTCAGCAAGCCATGAGAGCAGTCGTTTTGGAGTGCCAAAAGATTCAAGTTTGAAAAGAAGAGATGATCGAGACAGAGAATCAAACGCAGACGAATAGTCAAGGAAATCACAACGGACAGACTTGACCGAATGGTTTGATGACTTGCAGACAAAATGCACCAGAGTGGATACAGTGTCCAAAGTAGATCTGTTTGGTTTGTATGCAAACTGAAGGGGGTCGTGGGGAATTGTGGTGTC